TAATGGATTTAAAAATGGAGCAAAAAAAAATAAAACATAAATAAATAAAAATATGAATTTAATTAAATATGAGTTTAATTTCTCAAAGAACAGAGAATTAAAATGGTCGAAAATGAACTTATCACAATAAAACAATTTAGTTTGGGATAAGTTATTCCCTATATGGTCAAAGTGTAAACAAAACTTGTCAAAACTTCAAAGGGAATCCCGTAATTCCCAAAAATATGGCCCAAAATAGAATTTTTCATAGAAAATAGATCAAATTTTAAGGGTGTAAGTACGACATATTTAAAACATAGCAAAATATTTTTCGTAAAAATATCTTTCAGAAAAACATAAAATGGTTATATCGCACACCCAGTACAAAAGTGACACAACTCCAAATTTTTTTTTTAAGAAAAGGAAACAAATTTTTTACAAATTCTGAAAGATAAAGAAAGACATAACGTTTTTTCTTGAACAGTTAACAACAACAAAATACACTAATATTTTTGTAGAGTTAAACAAGTATCTTGTACATAGTTTAAGGCTTAAACTTAAGGTTTAAAGAATATTAAAACGCAAAAATAAAATTTTGAGTTGTGTCACTTTTGTACTGGGTGTGCGATATGTTCTTTCTTTAAGAAAGTTTTTTAATAAAAAAAGAAGAGCTACGGCACCTTTTGGCCCAAAAAATAAGAATAATTTTATTAATTTTAATCAATAAATTATGACACTATGAAATTTTGGTAATTTAGTTGTCTAACTAACAAGTCCAATCGGTCCAAATTATACCCTATATTGAAAAAAAGGAACAAGGTATAACAAATATTTGAGTCGTAACAACAGCACGAAGAGAGAAAAGATAATGTAACTCAGGTTAAACCTTTAATTTAAATCCACCATTTCCCGTTAAATCATATTACAACAACCATCAGATTTAGGTTTTTTCAAAAGCCACTTGGAAACGTCAAATTCGATCATTAGTGGGAAGTTTAGTAATTTACAAATAAATACAATTTTATAAAAAAATAAGAATTTTAATAATATCCCGACTATGGACTAGGCTACCAAAAGACTAAACTTTAGATTAGACTACAGACTAGAGCAGAGACTATACAATAGACTTAACTCTAGACTATAGATCAGACTGGAATTTAAATGAGACTATACACCAGACTATTGACTTGACTATAGACTAGACTATGGATTAGATTATAGACTAGACTATGGACTAAACTATAGAAAAAACTATAGATTAGACTACAGACTTGAATCTAGACTATTGACTAGACAATTGACTATTCTATATACTAGACTAATACTATTCTATTCTATATAATATTCTATATACTATCGACTAAACTGTAGAGTAAACTATAGACTAGACCAGCGGTTCCCACCATTTTTTACTTCTCGGACCCCTTGAGGAATTTATTTAATTTCACGGACCCCCATACATATTTTGATATCTTATTGTTATAAATAACACTGTGATACAAAAGTGAAGAAAAATAAAATGCAGGCGTTCTCATATACCAATTCTATTTCGTTATAGTCCATAGAGTACGAATATATTTTTAGTTTTCCCCTATCACTTCGTTAACTTACTTTTTAAGAGCAAAAGATGCGAAAAAGAGCCATTTTTGAAGTTTTAAATTTGAAAAATCATAAGTTTAGTAGTTTTCATCCGATTTTCAAATCCGATTTTTTTTTTTTTTTTAATGATACAAGTGTCTTTTAATCCAAAAAAAGAAATCCAAAATTTATGGTCAAATGTCTGAGTTACGGTCGTTTAAGTAAAAAAAACTCACACTTTTTTAAAAAATTTTCATTTTCATCATGCTCTACTTTGACCATGAGGCAGTGAGTTCATCTTTTATTACTTTCCTGAAGAATCACATAAAGGAAGGTTTCTAAAACTTGTTATTTCATAAAAATCTATGAAAAACTGGATAATTTATGCCAATTTTTCTAATAGCATGTTTCTCGAATTTTTGGTTTTCTCCATACAAATTAATTTTTGTATAAAAATGTTTATAAACATTTTTAAACTTGTTACAAAGAAAACCAGAAACATGAACGTTTTTGTATGGAAGAAATATGCTATATTTTTATAAAACTTAGCACAACTCATAACCTTTTTCATCGATTATCATAAATTGACCATCATTGGAAACCCAACTTAATGTGGCTTTTTTCAAATGTAATAAAAGCTAAAGTTATTGCTTCATGGCCAACGTAGAGCAGTATGAAAATTAAAAATTGTGAAAAAAGTGTGAGTTTTTTTTACTTAAATGGCCGTAACCAAGACATTAATCATAAATTTTGGATTTATTTTTTTGGGTTGAAAGACAACACTTGTATCTTTAAAACAAAATATCCAATTTGAAAATCGGTTGCAAACTACCAGACATATATTTTTTTAAAGTTAAAACTTCAAAAATAGCTCTTTTTCACAACTTTTGCTCTTAAAAAGGAACTAAACGAAGTGATCGGGAAAAATTAAAAATAAATTCCTACTCTATGGACTATAACGAAATGGAATTGGTATATGAGAACCCCTGCATTTTTTTGCTGTATCACTGTGTAATTGTTCGTCCGAAAATTGTCTTAGTCCTGGTCCATAAACCCTATAAAATATTCCCGTACATTGAGAACATTTAGTATTTCGGAGATGTTTTCAATTTCATGGTTTTAAATATAGAATGACTTCTAACATGATGTTTAATTTTATGATCGTGAGAGCTTTCATGTTCATTTCTCGTCAAGGTAGAGAAAAGGTTTCTTTAACAAGTATTGTCGACATGTGCTTAAAGAGTCATGTTTCTAAATTTTTTTAAGATTGCATAGGAGTGAGCTGAGTATGTAAGCTAAGTTTTCGGGAAAATATGTGAAAGTTAGACTTCTTCGATGTTGTTGCGGAATGCGTTACCCACATAAAATATGACCTGAACTCTTTGCGAATGTACTGTGAATTTGGATCTTAAATTTGAATTTTAAAATACCTACGAATTATTTTACTGCGTGGTTTTGACTATTTACGCAAAACGCTATGAATTTTCTGATGTTGATTTAATAATATTGGACAACAAAATTAAGTTAAAATCTGTGTATCACGTTGGAATGGAATATTTATATTTAAAATTAACTAGATTAACACTTTTGCTTACAATTTAAAAAAATATTATGAAATGTGACCTAACTTCATATTCCGGGATACTAGTATCAGTATTTAATTCTAAGGCTAATCATTATCCGTCTGCTATAAAAACATTTATTTCGATACATATATATTTATAAAAATTACAAATCACGTAATACTTTACTTTATAAAAGTGAAACAATAAATTTGTAGCGCCTAGCATCATCCTGATAAACGACCGAAACAATAAAATTCAAAGAGTCACCAACAAATCTGGGATTATTGAATAAAAATTGTGTATTTTAGTATTTATGAAAAATTTGGAGATATTTTTAATATTTTGTAACATATAGAGAATATTTTTTATTCATGATTTTTTTCGTTCGTCTTCGCGGACCCCCTAGGATTTTGCTACGGACCACTAGGGGTCCGCGGACCCCCTTTTGGGAACCGTTGGACTAGACTATGCACTATATACTGGACTATGGACTAGATTATAGACTAGGCTATAGAATAAACTACAGACTAGACTATAGTCTATATTATAGACTAGACTATAGTCTAGATTATGGACTAGACTATAGACTAGACTACAGACTTCAATCTAGACTATTGACTAGACAATAGACTATTCTATATACTAGTCTATCGACTAAACTAGAGTAAACTATAGACTAGACTATATACTAGACTATAGACTGGACTATAGACTAGAATATACACTAGGCTATACACTAGACTTTAGATTATACTATAGATAAGACTATAGTAATTTGTATTTACTCCATTTTATACGTGAAATGTTTAATCAAATAATTTGATTTGAGAAAAAAACGTTAGAAATCTTTAGACTCTGGTTAAAAATCTCCAAATTTCCCGCAATTTCCTTTTAAAAACGTAGGATTTGACGTATAGAACGTCCAATTGGCAACAGATGACATATGCTTTCAGATGACATAACAGACTTCATAAATAAAGGTGTCCTCGCGCTGTTGTTTCGACTCAAATATGACACGATACATGAACCTGATGTGATATAAAGGACTTCTAAGGCCAGATTCAACACTGCTCTGTATTTGGAATTTCATATTTTGTTGTCCTGTGTCATTTAATGGGCTTTAATCGTATTTACTAATTTTAAAAGTACTTTGTTGAGATAATGATTTGAATCACCATCGCAAAATAATCTCAGATGTAGTATAGTGGTGCATTTGCGAACAGGTCGTACGCAAATATCAAACTCTGTGTCCACTCTGATCAAGAGTTTATTATCGTCTTTATTGTTTGTCTTCGTTGAATTGTTAAGTCCTCTAATCCATTCCCTAGTTATGTCGGAAGTATGATGAGTACTCCTCAATGGACAAGGTCTGGTCGAAAACTAATTCAAATATACCCATTTACCATTGTGATGTCCTAAGTGAGAAACACGTAATCAATCCATGCATTCCATCAACCTAATCCCAAAAATATGGACCATGTTATTTTCCAAAAAAATAAACATGGCCTACTCCAATAATGTGTACACTGTACAGGTACAGAATATATATTTTTGCAGGGTAACTGACTTTTAACTTTTGTCGAACTGTTATTTAACATAGATGTAGTTTGGTCCAATTATTGAAATCAAATTAATTTAAATGTCAATGGAGTAAAATCGGCTGCACAAGTAGTATTCAGAATTGCTTCACGTATCCTTAAGAATTGGTTTGTTTTCCTGAGTTTAGCTGTTCTGGTGTCCAACGTTAACGTGAAAATTTATACCTTTAATATCGGAAACATTTTTAGAGAGTTCAAGTGTATGCTGTTCCGTATGGTCAACAGTCGGTATGATCTAAATAAAACCACAAAAAATTGTTTTTCGCTTAACAAGTGCTGATTTTATTTCTCCATAATGTCCGGTTATGCTGTATATTGAATAAATGTATTCTTAATGAACTTAAATTTAAGTTTCATTTACATACGCTTTAATGAAATAGATAATACTTGACATTTACACATATGCAATATTTGATTATAATAATCTATTGTGCAAATCGGAGCAAAAATAGCTAATTCCGGAGCTAACGTATATAAATGCAATATTCACTTATTTCAATTTAAACATTATAATTCATTAAAAATATGTTCCTCCTAAAAGTTTTATGATGTGCACATTTTTAACCATAAGTTACTACAAACCCCTCTAATTTCTAAATCAAAGACAATTTTTCAACACGATCCAATAATGGAGAATCTGAATGATATTCGATATTTTTAACCGTAAAATCACCAACAATATTTGTTAAACATTTTAAAGTTGAAATCGAGAAGGAACGGAATGGATAATTATAGTAGGTAAAATATTGACCATTAACGGCTATAATAAATGCTCGGTCACCAACGCCAAAAGCGATTTTAAATAATTTGCCACGTTGGAAGGGAAATTCACCATCTGTTTCTTCATCGTCCGAACAGAAACTATAAACAAAACATTCGTTCTAATTAAAATTACAGTACATCGAACATTTAAAAATACTCACCTATTATCCTCCCTTTGATAGCTGCGTACAACTGCGGTCTTTTCGAAATTGACATGAAATTTCAAAACAATACGACCGCTATCATTGCACACAAAACATATAGAAAACTCAGTATTAGGTGGACCCTTTACAATGCATTCCATAGCAACTACGGTGCCTTTAAACAAAAATAAACATTTTTAATTAAGTTAAATTGATTACTTTTATATGTGATCAGTAATACCTGCTTCATATTTCCTGGGAACATCACTTTGGAATGCAATTCTTTCGGGACATATTAAACCTTTTGGAAAAACTAGTGGATATAACATACGATGATGAAATTGTGTTATCTTCTCAAAATCACCATATATCATTGCGTATTGAATTTGTTTGGGAAATTTAATAAATTCAAATGTTCCATAAATATTATCGTTTACATAAATTTCAAAACATTTTTGTAAAATTGCAATGCGAAACGTAAATATTTGACCTGGAATTAAAGTAGTGTTAATTTTTAAATTTTATGATAAAATCTGATATTAATTAAGAGTTATACATAAGTTTATATGTATCTCTGCACACCTAGAGTTCCAAACAAGTAAGTAATATTTTAACAATTTGCTGACAAAAAAAAAAAATATATTTTCTAAAAGTGGGGTTGTATGGGAGCAAGGGGTTAATTAAGGGCCTATCCTTATAAATCTTGTTAGAGGGATTTCCGTCTATATTAAAGTTATTTATGCAGAATATCAACGTGATATTAGTGTTTATAAATTTTGATATCAAGTTATTTTCTGAAGAGGACTTTGTGTAGGGGCTAGGGTCAAATGAGGCCCGATCATTACGAGATTCGGCAGTATCATTTGGATTTATATAAAATTAAGTTTTGCCGAGAGATACAATCAAATTTAATATACATATTTAAGAGCTCAAAAGGGGGTACGGTTCTATAGGACCGATTTTAAACATTTTCAACAGGCTTCTTCCCTTTGTTCCAAATTATTTTCAAAATTGCGATCTGTAGCGTGCGCTCAAGGTTTACATGGGCACACAGATGAACGGACGAATGAAGGAACATAAATCGATTCAGAAAGTAATTCTGAGCCTATTTAAGGTGGGTGTAGAACAAGTATTTTTGGGTGTTACAAATATCATCACAAACACATAATACCCTGCCCACTATAGTGTTGAGGGCCGACCATATGATATCCAACACCAGTTCTGATAGGTTTAGGTTTAGAAGAGTTATGCACCATAAGAAAGGTGCAACTCGGAGACTATAAGGTCAAGATATATATATATATAGTGATTATGAGTTATGGAAGTTTAAGGGATTTTCTGACTTTGTATGGGGTCTGGAATAAAATGTTGTCCGATCATTACAAAAATCGGCAATACCATTGGGATTTACGCATATAAAGTCGAGAGCATTTTTGCGGGGATGTTGACATATTCAACTTAATTATGAGTTACAAAGCAAATTTCACGGTCCGGATGTATGGGGTAAAATAAAGTATTATCTTCTAAATTGCGACCTGTACATTATTTACAAGCTTAACACGGTTCAATCGACTCAGATAATTCTAAACCGATTGTTAGAAATGGGTATATGACAATAATTCAATCCCTCCCATAAAAGTGTGTAGGGCATAAAAAGTTTTTTTGGGATATCATTGACCCAAACTAAAACACATATTCTTCATTGAGGCCAAGATTTTGGAGAGTTTTAAATTTTGTGTTAATGCAAAGAATTTCATCTAAATCCGAAAGTCATGTACAAATTTCCACTTCTGAAAACTTCAGATATTTATTATGTTTGTGAGAATAATTTCATATTTAAAGGAAATCTAAATGTATATTTTTTATTAAAATAAAATGTTGACTGAATAAATTGATAAGCTGGAGAATTTTGAAGATTAGTATCTTGATCAATATGTATTTTCTTTTTAAATGTGGGCATATTAATAATTTAAACCATTTTTGAATTAAAAACTACTCACTGATGCAAATTTAGCAATCAACTCACCTGGCATTAAAGGATTTTTTGGTCCTTCATTTTTCCAATTTTTCGAAATTTCTTCCTGTTGCCAACCTTCACCCGGTTGAAACATGGAACGTATAATTTGATTTTCTCGAAAATTTGCCTCCAGTTTTAAATAAACCGTTTCACTTTCATTCTTTGCGCTAATATTATCGGTTAAATCTAATGAAATTCTAGGAAATACAAAAACACACAAAATTAATAATTTCTTGTATTTATTATTTGCAAAAACCTGTTTACTTAATTGGATTGGGTTTAACTTTTCCACTAAATATCAAGACATGACCGAAAGGTACATCTGTTAAAACTTTTCCTTTCCAAACGTTCATTTCTCTGTGACTCCTCGAATGCAACTGATTTAGTTGAATGGTTCAAATTATGTCTTAACAGGACTTCATTTTATTTCTTTTAATCATGTTTTTTTTTTTTTTTACCTGCCGCTGTCTGTTTCTCCACTCGTGAATGCTATAGTCTATAAGTGGTGGATGCATGGTGGAATATTGTAACAAGTTAATGTTTCCATTGATGATTATGTAAAAGTACTTTGAAATGAATAATCAAACAAACTATTTATGCATGTTATTGTTTTGTAAGTTTTTACAGTGGAACCATAAAGTTTTTTAATACATTTGGAATAAATGTTCGATCGAGTATGGCACCTGTCATTTTGCCATCAATTAATCGTGATTGAATCGGGAGATCAGTCATTTTGTTACTTATTTGGTCCAAAAATATTTCCTATACAATAGGGTTTGATCCTAGTCCCCATATTTGTGTGTTAGATACGGAAATTATTGTTAATTGAGATGACATTATTTATTTGTATGTTATTTTGTATGACATCACTGTGTTACAAGTAAATACACTTGATTCATAACACACTACATATCGACGGAAATATCACAATCTTCGCTTTTGATATTAGCCTGAAGCTCTTCCACCGTTCTTTGCTTGTTTGCATAAATGTCAGATTTAAACGGACTGATGAAGTGGAATAGAATCAAGAATTACACTTGTATGAAATTAGCATTTTATTCCAATGTCTGTACTATATATAAGCTGAAAATTAAAAAGGATGAAAAATGCTCTGAAAAAATCACATTCTACCCCACTGTTCAAATAATAATTTTATGTGAATTCAATCCTTTTTTTTTGTGTTCCATAATTTTGTTGGCTTTGAAATCCATAAACTGTCATAGTTGTTTGTTGTTTCATGGGCATATGAAAACTTGTTGTTATTTTATTTTTATACTGCTTTATTTTGAGACTGTTGCGTGTTTTCTTCCATAACCAGAAAAAAGGCCAATTACACCACGAGCAAGAAGTCAAAATAGTCTTATCATGGGAAATACAGAAACAAAATAATGTTCATACGAATTGAATCCACTTTTAATTCCATGACATTGTTCCGCAAGTTTACTTGTACAACCATACATACCACCCACTAAACCATCTTTCAAGAATCAAACGTATAAGAAACAAGTGAGAGCATTATATTCGGTTGTGACGAATCATATGTACCCATTATCCACGTTTTTTGGGAGCAATGAATTTCATATGATTTGATATCTAAAAAGAGGACCGAAAACTACCAAATGTGACTTATTCTGTACTTTTTGGGACACACAAACATCTGAATGATAAACAATATGACTTTCGCTCTGAAGTGCCATTAGGTACTTATCTTTGAGCTGGGAGAAAGCATGATATACATATATTTTATCTTTTTATTTCGGATTTATTCCACGAACGATCTATAACATCCGTGTTCAATGCCACTCACATTGTTTTGATCATAGACCTGATTTTTCTGACATAAAAATCTCAATATTTAATTTGAAATCAATATCCCTTAAAAACCAAACGACTTGAGACACCATTTTAACAAAGCCTCTTCATGAATGTGGTAAACGTTGATGAATCAAACGACGTCCGATGGTAACGACAACCATATCATTGACAAACAAAGGGTTTCTTTCAAATGTTTAGTTTCCGATCTAAAATGGAATATAATTGGACTAGCTTGAGCTGCTTGTAATCGTATATTCAGACCACATAAACCTAGATATGCGATACCAAAGTCCAATCTTTCTTTCTTTATTTATTTATAAGACCGATAAGTCTTACATTCTTCCTACTTAAAACCTTGGAATGGATAGTTGATAGCATGGTTAAAAGCAGTATACATGATAAAGACCTCAAATATAGACAGCATGCTTATGTACAGGGACGATTGGTGAAAACTGTGTTGAAGGATTTGTCCTCTATATAGACGAATCCCTCGATAGCAATATATGTACACTGACAGTATGCATTGGCATCGAAGGCATATTCAATAACGTGCTCACTGATTCTCTTATCCAATCCTTAGACCAGTTTTATGTTGACCGGGTGCTTTGTAACTGGTTTACTGTATTTCCCGGTAGACCAGTATTGGGTAACCACGACTAATAGCCTCCTAAGGACCCTAACCGAGAAAGGTCTTAGACCTGTTTGCTATGAAGACGATGTCGTAATACTTCTAAGAGAATAGTATCCAAATTATTTCTGTGTAAGGAATGAATAGGCTCTAAATACGACCTTAAGCTGGACTCAACCGAGAAAGGACTTAGACCTGTTTGCTATCAATGTATACTGCACACATTGGAAGGATGAGCGGCTCAATCGCATACTAGACACAGAATATGTAGGGAACTTTAAAACACTGATCCCATTTAGAATGTACGCCTCATAATTAAGCGATCTGACCAAAGTCGATACATCTACTGGAAATAATGGAAGACTATACACTAAGATGGGAGGTGCCCGATCGCATACCAGACACAGAATATATTGAAAACTTCGAAACACTGAACCCAGATAGAATTTTATGGCCAAGCGGAATATTAGATCAAAAACCCTTAGTAATGCGTTGCTACAGGTATGACTGTAAACTATGGGACAAAACGGGTCAGGACCACCGTCTACCTAATCACAACACTAGCACCCAGTCAGAAGTCCGAGCATCAACGGGATGTGTAATTGGATTAGAATAAATATGGCGTCAACAAGGGTTAACATATTTACTGACACCCAGAAGGCTGTTAAAGTTAAATCTAAGATACTCCCACAGAGGTAAACTTTACATCATATCGTAACCAGACCACTAGAGAATAGTCGGCGACGAAATAGCGAATTTAGTTGCTTTAGGTGGATTCCAATAAGGTCTCTTGGAATAATGGACACAACCACAAAGATCCAATTGGGTGACCATAACGACAGCAGGTCGAGAAGCTTTCTCAATATGAGCAAGTCCGAGGTTAATATAGTGGTAAGAAATTTGAGTGGACACATAGGTTTACGGGCACAACTATACAATTTGGATGTGTGGATTCAGGCGAATGTAGAGCATAAGGGCAGCTAAACTCTGGAGCACTTTCTTTGTCATTGTCAGACTTTCGTCAAAATAAGATCCAAATATCTTCAGGAAACTGAGTTTCTGAACATCCGACGATAATACCTTCAATGATCAATATAAAGAAGTATTTGTTTTTACCAATCATTTTCCATTAAAAGAAGCGCAGAACAGGTCCGATAGTGTCCTATGTGTATTTCTTCGGTGTTGATGTAGTATAGATCAACATAACGAGGATAGGTCGACTAAAGGATTTTCCTGGAACTAAAGTGTCATACAGTCAGATCCTCTATGAATTTTATAAAGACCTAGAATATGAATACATATATACAATTTTTATTGTGTTACAAACGGAATAACAAAATCAATATTATGAGGAACATAATGTAGGTTATAATAAAAATACACACGAATTCCTTAAACACGTGCAAGTTAGATGTAGAAAAGAATAAAGAGTTGTGATTGCATGTTTTGTTTTATTTTGTTGTTAAAGCTGTCGCAGATTTCCTCCCAAAATAAAAACTTTGTTCAAGTTTTTTTTTTAACTTCTAACAAACTACTACTATAAGAATTTTTCATATTTAAATTTCGTGCTACTTTTCACCAGTTGAGGGACACGCTTTAGTCAACGAATTGTACACGTCCATGTACATGTGTTTTTGCGGATTTCTTAAAACAATTCAAGACGAAATGTCTGACACTACATGACAAACCGTAGAGTTTATTTGTTTTTCTTACGACATCAATGTCTTAATGCATTCGAAACTAAATTTAGTTGTAAATGCTTTTATTTACATATGTGCAAAAATACATTCATATACGTATGTTTAAAAGTTCATAAAGGATATTAGTGTGTTTACACTAGCATCGGTTTAAAGCGTATAATCAATTTAGGAACAAATTTATGCTTTATACTCTTCTATAGATACATATGAACGAATTTGTGACACTAAAATTTTAAAGGGTTAAAAGTCATAGTTGTGAATATTTGGAACTGTTCATAAAACGATCTACTAGTTCATAAGAATTTTCCAAAAAATGTTCCCGAGGGCTGATATATAGGGAATAATACAGCTGTGTTGGCAATGGATCTTATTTCCAGTGTTTCATTTTCCTCTCCGCATGCCCTAAATTTCTACCTACATACATATGTATCCAATAAGAAGACATACCATCATACCAACCGTGGACTTATTCATTCTTTGTTGGCTTCTCGCCCTGCTCTCATCGGGGTCACCTGATAGGATTTTTTCTTCATTCCAATGGGATTAACTCGCCCATGTTTGTAGTTAGGTCCACGTTGACTTTATCTGCTGACATCGTCCTAATGGCCTTCTGGCTGTTGGAAAATACTTTAACCTCTGTAGTACTGATATCCAATCCAATTCCTTTTACAATGTAGATCCCAGACCGGTATTGTCTGCCAGTTTAGAGCCACACACATAACAGTAGATTGCTGCAGGGGTTTGATCAAATGTTCCGCCTGACCACGATCTCCTATCTTAGACCAATTTCCCTGCAAAAATTATTGGAGTACATGATCCATTTGGGTAATCCCAAAACAACTCCCCTCCTAACATTATTGGAGTACATGTTCCGTTTAGTGGACCTATGTAGTGCAGGCATGGAACATGTTTATTTTTTATATCCTACACCACTTTAGTGGGGAGGGTATATTGGATTTGTCGTGATGTTTGTAACATACAAAAATATTCCTAGACCCACCTTAAAGTATGCCAATCGGCTTAGAATCGTTTTCTGATGTTTTCTATGTCCGTCCGTCCGTCCGTCCGTCTGGCTGGCTGTCCATGTAAACCTTGTGCGCACGCACGTTATTTGACCCAAGGACGAAGCCTATTGAAAATGGTTAAAATCGGTCCATTATTTCACCTAGCCCCCATAGAACAGAACCCCCGAAAAGGGCTTTTGAGCTCATAATTATGTTAAATATACAGATATATCGATAAAATACGACACAACTAAGTTTTATAGAAGTCTTGATAACCCTGCCAAATTTCATAAAGATCAAGCCCCATTTGACCCTAGCTCCCATACAAAGTCCCCTTCAAAAAATTACTTGAATGTCCCAAATTAACTTATAAACACAAATATCGCAATGAAATTCAGCACAATAAAATATTATGTAAATATAAATATATTCACAAAATTTTATCGGGCTTGGTCCATATTTGCCCCTAGCCCCCATATAAAGCCTCTTTCAGAAAATTAGTTTTTCATCCATAAATTGCTTAAATGTATCGGAACAAGGGAATATTGAAGATAAATGCTTTATTATGAAAAATAAATCACATTTAATATTCATAACTGGTGCAGGGTATCATATGGTCGGCCACGCCCGACTATACTCTCTTACTTGTTTGATTGTAACATTGTTTATATCCTGCATTACATACACGCAGAGAAAAAACATGGTTCAAAATGGTTACTGCAACTATCCCATGTTTACTGTAACAATATATTGTTTTCAAAAACATATAATTGTTATTTTAATTAGATTTTAACAATATTTAAGTTACTGTAAACATTTTC